AGACTAGACTATAGACTAGACTAGACTAGACTATAGACTAGACTAGACTAGACTATAGACTAGACTATAGACTAGACTATAGACTAGACTATAGACTAGACTATAGACTAGACTATAGACTAGACTATAGACTAGACTATAGACTAGACTATAGACTAGACTATAGATAGACTATAGACTAGATATGACTAGACTATAGACTAGACTATAGACTAGACTATAGACTAGACTATAGACTAGACTATAGACTAGACTATAGACTAGACTATAGACTAGACTATAGACTAGACTATAGACTAGACTATAGACTAGACTATAGACTAGACTATAGACTAGACTATAGTAGACTATAGACTAGACTATAGACTAGACTATAGACTAGACTATAGACTAGACTATAGACTAGACTATAGACTAGACTATAGACTAGACTATAGACTAGACTATAGACTAGACTATAGACTAGACTATAGACTAGACTATAGACTAGACTATAGACTAGACTATAGACTAGACTATAGACTAGACTATAGACTAGACTATAGACTAGACTATAGACTAGACTATAGACTAGACTATAGACTAGACTATAGACTAGACTATAGACTAGACTATAGACTAGACTATAGACTAGACTATAGACTAGACTATAGACTAGACTATAGACTAGACTATAGACTAGACTATAGACTAGACTATAGACTAGACTATAGACTAGACTATAGACTAGACTATAGACTAGACTATAGACTAGACTATAGACTAGACTATAGACTAGACTATAGACTAGACTATAGACTAGACTATAGACTAGACTATAGACTAGACTATAGACTAGACTATAGACTAGACTATAGACTAGACTATAGACTAGACTATAGACTAGACTATAGACTAGACTATAGACTAGACTATAGACTAGACTATAGACTAGACTATAGACTAGACTATAGACTAGACTATAGACTAGACTATAGACTAGACTATAGACTAGACTATAGACTAGACTATAGACTAGACTATAGACTAGACTATAGACTAGACTATAGACTAGACTATAGATAGACTATAGACTAGACTATAGACTAGACTAGACTAGACTATAGACTAGACTATAGACTAGACTATAGACTAGACTATTAGACTAGGACTATAGACTAGACTATAGACTAGACTATAGACTAGACTGTAGACTAGATATAGACTAGACTATAGACTAGACTATAGACTAGACTGTAGACTAGACTATAGACTAGACTATAGACTCGACTATAGACTAGGACTATAGACTATGACTATAGACTAGACTATAGACTAGACTAGATAGACTATAGACTAACTATAGACTAGACTATAGACTAGACTATAGACTAGACTACTAGACTAGGACTATAGACTAGACTGTAGACTAGACTATAGACTAGACTATAGACTAGACTATAGACTAGACTATAGACTAGACTATAGACTAGACTATAGACTAGACTATAGACTAGACTATAGACTAGACTATAGACTAGACTATAGACTAGGCTATACTAAGGACTAGAACAAAAACTAGACTACAGCGTAGACTATAGACTTTTTGAGTATTCGGGGAGTTATCTCTTAATGGAACTTCTTTGATTGGAGTAAAATTTATTGAATTTTTCCCATTTATCGAAAAGTTTATCAAACTTTTACCTCCTCAGCAAAATGTTTAAGACAAATTTGTTCGCAAGGTTATCACCATAATTCTGACAAATTGTTTAATTTAAATTTATGACAGATAGTCACATTTTTCCCGTAAAATATAAAACTTTTCCTCTTTGTTATAGTTTTATTTATTTAGGTTTAAATTCTTTGGAAAAAAATTCTGGTTTTACTTGTTAGTTTTTATTTACATTTGTGTACCTACCAGCTAAAAGTTTAAACACAAAAATCTAAATAAATAAAGTACGTGTTTAAACATGAAAATACCGCAAAATTATGAGAAGGACAAGTTTCAAGGATTATTAAATAAAATATTTGTAAATAATACGAATGCAATAATAATGGCAAATAAGATATTGAGGGTATTCATTAAAACAAGTAAAATCACTTATGGAAATAAAAATATCCATAAACAACATTGTATTTTATAAAAGGTTTATCAAACAAAATTTGAATTATAAACCGTTTATAAAATAACAATTTTTTATGAAATAGTTCTATCTGGTCAGCAGTCTTGTCTACAGTCTAGCCTATTATCTAGTCTGTAATTTAGTCTATAGTGTAGTCTATAGTCTAGTCTATAGTCTAGTCTATAGTCTAGTCTATAGTCAAGTCTATAGTCTAGTCTATAGTCTAGTCTATAGTCAAGTCTATAGTCTAGTCTATAGTCTAGTCTATAGTCAAGTCTATAGTCTAGTCTATAGTCTAGTCTATAGTCTAGTCTATAGTCTAGTCTATAGTCTAGTCTATAGTCTAGTCTATAGTCTAGTCTATAGTCTAGTCTATAGTCTAGTCTATAGTCTAGTCTATAGTCTAGTCTATAGTCTAGTCTATAGTCTAGTCTATAGTCTAGTCTATAGTCTAGTCTATAGTCTAGTCTATAGTCTAGTCTATAGTCTAGTCTATAGTCTAGTCTATAGTCTAGTCTATAGTCTAGTCTATAGTCTAGTCTATAGTCTAGTCTATAGTCTAGTCTATAGTCTAGTCTATAGTCTAGTCTATAGTCTAGTCTATAGTCTAGTCTATAGTCTAGTCTATAGTCTAGTCTATAGTCTAGTCTATAGTCTAGTCTATAGTCTAGTCTATAGTCTAGTCTATAGTCTAGTCTATAGTCTAGTCTATAGTCTAGTCTATAGTCTAGTCTATAGTCTAGTCTATAGTCTAGTCTATAGTCTAGTCTATAGTCTAGTCTATAGTCTAGTCTATAGTCTAGTCTGTATAGTCTAGTCTATAGTCTAGTCTATAGTCTAGTCTATAGTCTAGTCTATAGTCTAGTCTATAGTCTAGTCTATAGTCTAGTCTATAGTCTAGTCTATAGTCTAGTCTATAGTCTAGTCTATAGTCTAGTCTATAGTCTAGTCTATAGTCTAGTCTATAGTCTAGTCTATAGTCTAGTCTATAGTCTAGTCTATAGTCTAGTCTATAGTCTAGTCTATAGTCTAGTCTATAGTCTAGTCTATAGTCTAGTCTATAGTCTAGTCTATAGTAGTCTATAGTCTAGTCTATAGTCTAGTCTATAGTCTAGTCTATAGTCTAGTCTATAGTCTAGTCTATAGTCTAGTCTATAGTCTAGTCTATAGTCTAGTCTATAGTCTAGTCTATAGTCTAGTCTATATCTAGTCTATAGTCTAGTCTATAGTCTAGTCTATAGTCTAGTCTATAGTCTAGTCTATAGTCTAGTCTATAGTCTAGTCTATAGTCTAGTCTATAGTCTAGTCTATAGTCTAGTCTATAGTCTAGTCTATAGTCTAGTCTATAGTCTAGTCTATAGTCTAGTCTATAGTCTAGTCTATGGTCTAGTCTATAGTCTAGTCTATAGTCTAGTCTATAGTCTAGTCTATAGTCTAGTCTATAGTCTAGTCTATAGTCTAGTCTATAGTCTAGTCTATAGTCTAGTCTATAGTCTAGTCTATAGTCTAGTCTATAGTCTAGTCTATAGTCTAATCTATAGTCTAGTCTATAGTCTAGTCTATAGTCTAGTCTATAGTCTAGTCTATAGTCTAGTATAGTCTAGTCTAGTCTATAGTCTAGTCTATAGTCTAGTCTATAGTCTAGTCTATAGTCTAGTCTATAGTCTAGTCTATAGTCTAGTCTATAGTCTAGTCTATAGTCTAGTCTATAGTCTAGTCTATAGTCTAGTCTATAGTCTAGTCTATAGTCTAGTCTATAGTCTAGTCTATAGTCTAGTCTATAGTCTAGTCTATAGTCTAGTCTATAGTCTAGTCTATAGTCTAGTCTATAGTCTAGTCTATAGTCTAGTCTATAGTCTAGTCTATAGTCTAGTCTATAGTCTAGTCTATAGTCTAGTCTATAGTCTAGTCTATAGTCTAGTCTATAGTCTAGTCTATAGTCTAGTCTATAGTCTAGTCTATAGTCTAGTCTATAGTCTAGTCTATAGTCTAGTCTATAGTCTAGTCTATAGTCTAGTCTATAGTCTAGTCTATAGCTTCTATAGTCTAGTCTATAGTCTAGTCTATAGTCTAGTCTATAGTCTAGTCTATAGTTCTTAGTCTAGTAGTCTAGTCTATAGTCTAGTCTATAGTCTAGTCTATAGTCTAGTCTATAGTCTAGTCTATAGTCTAGTCTATAGTCTAGTCTATAGTCTAGTCTATAGTCTAGTCTATAGTCTAGTCTATAGTCTAGTCTATAGTCTAGTCTATAGTCTAGTCTATAGTAGTCTATAGTCTAGTCTATAGTCTAGTCTATAGTCTAGTCTATAGTCTAGTTATAGTCTAGTCTATAGTCTAGTCTATAGTCTAGTCTATAGTCTAGTTATAGTCTAGTCTATAGTCGAGTCTATTCGTCTAGTCTATAGTCTAGTCTATAGTCTAGTCTAGCTAGTCTAGTCTATAGTTCTAGTCTATAGTCTAGTCTATAGTCTAGTCTATAGTCTAGTCTATAGTTCTAGTCTATAGTCTAGTCTATAGTCTAGTCTATAGTCTAGTCTATAGTCTAGTCTATAGTCTAGTCTATAGTCTAGTCTATAGTCTAGTCTATAGTTCATATTCTATAGTCTAATCTATAGTCTAGTCTATAGTATAGTCTATACTCTAGTCTATAGTCTAGTCTATAGTCTAGTCTATAGTCTAGTCTATAGTCTAATCTATAGTCTAATACTTTAATCTATAGTATAATCTATAGCCTAGTCTATAAGTAGTCTAGTCTATAGTTTAATCTATAGTCTAGTCTATAATAAAACATCTTGATCGTTTGAAAATTTAACTTGAGTCTAAATCCAAATATGTTATCACTGGACTTTCTTTTGCTTACATTAATCTCAAATTCTTCTTTTTATTCCTTTTCCATAGGATTGGTGGGATTCTAAACTGCCGGAAACTGGTATATTTTGTTGTTTGAGTGTTATACCCAAAGTTTGTTGGCCGGAGCTATAACCCTAATGGATGAGGCTTATTATAAATTGGCTGTTTGGTTAAATGATAAAGGTACGGAAGCAAAAATATATAAACAAGAAAACCTAAAAAATATTTCTTTCATTTGACTGACTAAGATTAATGGCAAACATCTTCTCTTTTCTGTTTTTCATTTTTTCTAGAAAATTATCGTTTACAGTCAAAATATGAAAATCATTTAATTGCCAAAGTGGCATTATTTCAATTTGTCAACTCCTTTCTATCGCTGTTCTATATAGCTTTCTATCTAAGAGATGAGGAAAGCTAAAGGAGGTTGGTAAAGGTTTACTTAGTTTTTTCCCCCTCAAAATAAAGCCATATTTTCTTTATCCTTAGCAATTGGCTGGTCTTTTAATTTCCCGTCAAATTATTGGCAATTTACGCGAATCCGCCATACCCTACTTTTTGGAACAATGGAAACTGGCTAAATTAAGTTTTAACATGTGGGGCGCTTTAAGTCCCACCCAGGATATTAACCGCACTTTTGCTGGTACTCTAACATCATCAGCTGCCTCTGCAGCTACGGCTGGTTCGACAACAGCATCAACGGATACTGAGAAAACTAAGCAGCCAAGCGAAACATCAACACCCCAATCGGGCACACCATCGAAACAATTGCCGAAAAAATCACTTGATACCGGATGTTCTACACCAACTACAACAACAGCTAGTGCTAAACGTAATATTGGTCAAGCGGAAATTGAAAGCTCTTTATATAAGGTAAGTAGTATTTAGATATAATTACCGATGATGTTTTGCTGGTAATTATGTGTAATAAAATGGGTTGCCAAGTTAAGAAATGACGTACATGTGATTACAATGGCGAAAAGATCAAGTTTCGTGATATTATCAACATAAACCTCAATCATTAGGACCATCGATAGAACATGTTGCCTAATACGAAATATAATCATCTATATCCACAAAACATTACGCTCATCTGGGTGGTATTTTCGTTGAAAATTTGGTTTCCATGTTTAATTCTCACTTTTGAGGTCAATCTTTTCTTCGACATATAATTTTCTCATTTTTTGAATGATACATTCTAAAGATAATGTCCTTGATTGGAACCGAGATTACCAGCCAAAGTAAATCTAAAGTTTTTCTTCGTTAAAGTTTCTGTAATTGGTAAATTATAGATCTGAGTTTGAATGGGATCCAACAGTCGATTCTAGTTGACCGACCTGATATTCAGCATAACCACATTTTAGTAAGTGTTACTTAATAAAAGCTTCCTAGTGTTAAACTTTTCCTTCAAAGAAGGGGGAATATTATTCGAGCTGATGTTTAGCATAGGCATATTTAATTTAGTTTTGCTTAGTGAAAGCTCCGAAGAGTTTAAAATTTCTTTCCATAGTTGGGCCAACTCACGAAGTCGCTGTCGACGATCGAATAATTGTGCTAGATCCAGTGTTTCAAAGAAGTATATTGAACTAGTTCTTCTCAGTTAGTTGGTTGGTCGTAGTTAGTTAGTGGTTAGTTAGTTAGTTAGTTAGTTAGTTAGTTAGTTAGTTAGTTAGTTAGTTAGTTAGTAGTTAGTTAGGTTAGTTAGTTAGTTAGTTAGTTAGTTAGTTAGTTAGTTAGTTAGTTAGTTAGTTAGTTAGTTAGTTAGTTAGTGTAGTTAGTTAGTTAGTTAGTTAGTAGTAGTTAGTTAGTAGTTAGTTAGTTAGCTTAGTTAGTTAGTTAGTTAGTTAGTTAGTTAGTTAGTTAGTTAGTTAGTTAGTAGTTAGTTAGTTAGTTAGTAGTTAGTTAGTTAGTTAGTTAGTTAGTAGTTAGTTAGTTAGTAGTTAGTTAGTTAGTTAGTTAGTTAGTTAGTAGTTAGTTAGTTAGTTAGTTAGTTAGTTAGTTAGTTAGTTAGTTAGTTAGTTAGTTAGTTAGTTAGTAGTTAGTTAGTTAGTTAGTAGTTAGTTAGTTAGTAGTAGTTAGTTAGTTAGTTAGTTAGTTAGTTAGTTAGTTAGTTAGTTAGTTAGTTAGTTAGTTAGTTAGTTAGTTAGTTAGTTAGTTAGTTAGTTAGTTAGTTGTTAGTTAGTTAGTTAGTTAGTTAGTTAGTTAGTTAGTTAGTTAGTTAGTTAGTTAGTAGTTAGTTAGTTCGTTAGTAGTTAGTTAGTTAGTTAGTTGTTAGTTAGTTAGTTTAGTTAGTTAGTTAGTTAGTTAGTAGTTAGTTAGTTAGTTAGTTAGTTAGTTAGTAGTTACGTTAGTTAGTTAGTTAGTTAGTTAGTTAGTGTTAGTTAGTAGTCGTTGTTAGTTAGTTAGTTAGTTAGTTAGTAGTTAGTTAGTTAGTTATTAGTTAGTTAGTTAGTTAGTAGTTAGTTAGTAGTTAGTTAGTTAGTTAGTTAGTTAGTTAGTTAGTTAGTTAGTTAGTTAGTTAGTTAGTTAGTTAGTTCGTTAGTTAGTTAGTTAGTTAGTTAGTTAGTTAGTTAGTTAGTTAGTTAGTTAGTTAGTTAGTTAGTTAGTTAGTTAGTTAGTTAGTTAGTTAGTTAGTTAGTTAGTTAGTTAGTTAGTTAGTTAGTTAGTTAGTTAGTTAGTTAGTTAGTTAGTTAGTTAGTTAGTTAGTTAGTTAGTTAGTAGTTAGTTAGTTAGTTAGTTAGTTAGTTAGTTAGTTAGTTAGTTAGTTAGTTAGTTAGTTAGTTAGTAGTTAGTTAGTTAGTTAGTTAGTTAGTTAGTTAGTAGTTAGTTAGTTAGTTAGTAGTTAGTTAGTTAGTTAGTTAGTTAGTTAGTTAGTTAGTTAGTTAGTTAGTTAGTTAGTTAGTTAGTTAGTTAGTTAGTTAGTTAGTTAGTTAGTTAGTTAGTTAGTTAGTTAGTTAGTTAGTAGTTAGTTAGTTAGTTAGTTAGTTAGTTAGTTAGTTAGTTAGTTAGTTAGTTAGTTAGTTAGTTAGTTAGTTAGTTAGTTAGTTAGTTAGTTAGTTAGTTAGTAGTTAGTTAGTTAGTTAGTTAGTAGTTAGTTAGTTAGTTAGTTAGTTAGTTAGTTAGTTAGTTAGTAGTTAGTTAGTAGTTAGTTAGTTAGTTAGTTAGTTAGTTAGTTAGTTAGTTAGTTAGTTAGTTAGTTAGTTAGTTAGTTAGTTAGTTAGTTAGTTAGTAGTTAGTTAGTTAGTTAGTTAGTTAGTTAGTTAGTTAGTTAGTTAGTAGTTAGTTAGTTAGTTAGTTAGTAGTTAGTTAGTTAGTAGTAGTTAGTTAGTTAGTTAGTTAGTTAGTTAGTTAGTAGTTAGTTAGTTATTCATTACTCAGAGAACGTCGGCATAAAATCGGTACCAGTTTGAATTGAATATCAGCTGTTTCATAGAACATAACCTGAAATCTTAAGGATTGCTAGAAATCTAAAGGACTTCGGATTTGTTTATCACAAATATCGTGATATATTATTATATATTTTCTCTTGGCAACCCTCTTTTAAGCTAAACTAATTACATCTCACAACACATAAACTCACCCAGAATATGACCACAAAACCGTAAGAACTGCTTTTAAGGCAAAAATTCTCTAACAACACATTATTGACTTTCATACTAACCAAGTTTTTTGCTTCATCTCTATAGTATGATGGCACATTCTCCGATCATTTGGAAATGCTTGTACAAATGGGTTATGTTGTACTCTTTTCGGCTGCTTTCCCTCTGGCGGGGGTATGTGCACTCATCAATAATCTAATGGAAATACGTTCGGATGCTTTCAAACTGGCTCATGTACATCAGAGACCATTTGGACAGCGTGTGGCAAACATTGGCACCTGGCAGAATGCACTTAGCCTGTTATCGTTGGCAGCTGTAATTGTGAATTGTGCTTTAATTGGTTTGTCCGGGCAAGTGTCTCGTTTGTGGCCTGGCTTAACCACAGCACAAACAATCATATTAATTGTTACACTTGAGGTAAGTAGGAAGAGTGGGTGAAGAGGGAGGGGGGCTTGTTTTGTTGTTATAGGGGTCGACTATTAAGTGTCAAACACATGTAAACACTTAATAGGTACTTTAAACGTTTAACAGAAGTAGTTTTTATTTAGCTTTTTGTATATTTTTTTTTTTTTTGTTAATTAACACAGCATATAATGTTGGGTTTACGTTCAGCTTTAACATGGCTATTACCCGAGCTGCCATCATGGTTGGCTGCAGAAATAGCCAGAGCTGAACATTGTCGACGAGAAATGCAATGCAAGGGAACCTCACCTAGACCCACGCCACCCACACCACCCAGCACAACTTCAACACAACCCGAACATGAGCTGGCATCATTGAATTTGCTAGATGCTGTAACCGGCACCACCAACAATACAACAACCACCAATGAACCATCCATGGATAGTCAAATGTCAGAAGAGTTGTTGTATCAACAGGAGCTATTGAAACAAGCCGAGTATGAACCCTATATAGATGAGATAACACGTTTTGGCTTACAGAGGAATGTGGCAGCAGGAGATTTAAATGTTTTTGATAATCGTGATTCATCACCAGATTCGCCTCCCTCACAGGTAATCGAATGATGATACGAAATGTATTGTGTTCCCCATACTAAATACTATTTAATTTCAGACCAGCACTATATTAATACGCCCTCTACTGGACTCTACTCCCCCTAATAGTGGCGCCTCTTTGACCAGCCTCAATCAGGATATATTAACACATGGACCCAGTGGGTGTGTATAGTTTAATTTTGCCCTTTTACTCATTATGCATATTTTGTTTTCCCTTTTTTTCAAATACTTCCTCTTTTTTCAACTTTACTACTATATTTTAACTACTATTTACCCAGTTCTTTACTTATACATACTTTTTTTAACTCAATGTTTTGTTCTAACACTTTTTTTATATAATAACAAACAAAGTTTGCATTTATTTTGTTTAACACTACTAACAATTGTTTTTTGCTACACACACACACAGAAACACCAAACAAATATTTAAATAACTAATACTCAATTAAAGTTTTTGTTTTGAAAATGTTTTTTTTTGTTTGTTTTTGAATTACAAGCATGAAGTGGAAGGATTAAGGGAATGTTAGTAAATAAGAGGTTTCAAAGTAAATTTTGAACGTCACTATCTAGTAAAGTTTTTACAAATATCGGACCAACTGAAATATTTTAAAACTTCTTTTAATTAAATGTTTATAAAATCTGTCTGTCAGTCCGTCCGTCCGTCCGTTTGTCTGTCTGTCTGTCCGTCCGTCTGTCTGTCTGTCTGTCTGTCTGTCTGTCTGTCTATCCATCCGTCCGATTATATGTCTGTCTGTCCGTTGATCTACGTGTCCTTGTAAACCATATTTTTAAGATAATTTGATGAAATTTGGCTCTGGATAGCTACTTTTCTCTTGGTCCAAGGACGAAAGCTATTGAAAATGATTGAAAGCATCTAGCTCCCTCCCGAATAGCGCTCTTGAGCTCATAATTATGTTAAATGTTCTAGTATTTCTACAAAAATCGGCATAACCTAATTTGACATAAGTCTAAATTTGACCCTTGCCCATATTCAAAGTTCCCCTTAGAATATGACTTGATGGTCAATAGTTCTCTTAAAAACACTAGCTTTAACTACGAGATAATGCTGCTTAAATAACTTTAATGTGTAATTCTTCTAAGAATAGGCCCATATTTACACTGGTCGCCGTATAACCCCTCTTTCATCAAATCACGTATTTTGTCAAAAAATTCCAAAAATATTTCGGAATTACAGAAAAAACAACTTAAAGTTTTTTTATACTACTCACTGGTGTATGGTATCATATAGTCAGTCACGTCCGGCTATACATTGTTTTTATACCCTACACCACTATAGTGGGGAGGGTATTATGCGTTTGTGCTGATGTTTGTAACACCCAAAAATATTGGTCCTACACCCACCTTAAAGTATACCAATCGACTCAGAATCACTTCCTGAGTCGATTAAGCTATGTCCGTCTGTCCGTCCGTCCGTCCGTCCGTCTGTCTGTCTGTGTGTCCATGTAAACCTTGTGCGCACTCTACAGGTCGCAATTTTTGAGATAATTTGATGAAATTTGGAACATACACTTCTCTTGGTCCAAGGACAAACGCTATTGAAAATGGTTGAAATCGGTCCATTATTTAACCTAGCCCCCATACAACCGGACCCCCCGAATAGGGCTTTTGACCTCATAATTATGTTAAATGATCTGCTATCTCTACAAAAATTGGAAAAGTTTAGTTTTATATATGTCTTAAAAATTCTAGTGATTTTCGTAAAGATCGGGCATTATTTGACCCCAGCCCCCATACAAAGTCCCCCTCAGAAAATGACTTGAATGTCCACAATTCACTTATAAACAGTAGTATCACGATGAAATTTGGCACAAATGAGTTTTATATAAACATAATTCCCAACAAAAAGTTTTGTAGGGATCGGACCAGTTTTACTCTAGCCCCCATATAAGCGGACCTTCCGATTTGGGCCTTTTAGATCATAACTTTGTCAAATATACTACTATCTCTCCAAAAATCGGCACAACTAAGTTGGATATAATTATAAATAACACTGTCGATTTTTATAATGATCGGGCATTATTTGACCCTATCCCCCATACAAAATCCCCTTCAGGAAATGACTTCAATGTCCACAATTCTCTTATAAACACTAGTATCAATATGAAATTTACCACAAATAGATTTTATATAAACATTTTATATAAAATGTCGACATTAAATTTTATAAGGATCGGACCAATTTTTGCCCTAGCCCCCATATAACCGGACCTACCGATTAGGGCCTCTTAGCTCATAACTACGATAAATATACTACTATCTTCCCAAAATTTGGCACAACTAAGTTTGATATGTAATTATAAATAACACTGTCATTTTTCGCCATGATCGGAAATAAAAAGTAGCCTATTGCCAGACATACGAATGTGCTGTGAAAATTTGAAGAAAATCGGTTTAGCCGTTTAGTAGTCTATAACGTTCAAACATACAAACATATAAACATACAAACAAACACACATTCATTTTTATATATGTATATAGATAATTCCCAATAATACATTTTGTAAGGATCGGTTCACTTTCTGCCTTAGCCTCCATACATCCTGACCTTCCGATTTCGGTCGTTTATCTTTTAACTACATCTAATATACTACTATCTATCCAAAAGTCGGCACAATGTGGTGATGTTTGTAATACTCAAAAATATTTGTCTTTATTAAGCTATGTCCATCTTTGTGACCGTGTAAACCTTGTGTGCACGCAACAGATCGCAATTTTGAATATAATTTGCTAAAATGTGTCACATACTATTCTCTGGATCCACTGACGATGGCTGTTGAAAATGATTGAAATCGGTCTTCTATTTTTCGTAGTCAGCATACAACCGAACATGAACAGACATTATTTGGAACCTATATAAGATTAACAGAAATGCTTCATTATTGAAATTAATCACATTTAATATTCGCAATTGGTGTAGGGTATCATATGGTCGGCCACGCTCGACTATAATTTCTTACTTGTTTCTTTTTGTCAAAGTTTTTCTAGTTGTCCGTTGTTTATGGCCCGATTTTGCTGACTTTAAATAGGGATCTTTTCGAAAGCATGTCTGATAGAACAATTGAAGTTTCAAAACTTGCAGATATCTGGCGTCTTCTAATAACTGATTTCAACATACAGACCAAATTAGCGGAAAGAGTAAATTGCGCTCAAAGGACTGATGCTTAGGATAAGTTCGGTGCTGTTGCCGATTGACAACAGTTACCCCACAGAGGAGTGACTGTCGGACTAAGCGTTGGAAATGAGTTGATGTTATATGATACAGGATGAATGTAGGGGTATACGGTCGTTACCAACTCGTATACATAGAGTGAGTATGTCGGATGTTGTTCTCTATGAGTGCACCGGATGAATAAGAAGTGTTCTGGGTTAAAAGGTATCTTATACAAGTGATACCATTGAATTTTCCATCCTTGTCCAGGTATGTTCAGGGAAAACTCTGTTCATACCAGAGTAAGAACAGGTCTCGGCTTATTTGATGGATTTGTATTTCGGTCTAACGGTGAAGTCTCTAGGTGCTGTTGCCGACTCAACAGTGGCCATCCCATCTGCCGGTTTGTAAACGGAAGTGATGTTTTTACGTCTCGGAAGTTAAGCAATGGGGCAGCAATGATCAGAGATTGGATAGCTCGAGTACTTAAGCAAAGTGCACGTTTACCGGACCGGAAATTCCATATACGTAAATTGCCACCTGCGTGCAAGATAAATAAAGGGGCGGTGCACCGCGCTGGTGAGTCGTTGCAAAAGCTTACCCAGTGGTTGAAAAAGACCACCGTGTAATAGGCCAACACAGCAGGTGTTCACGTAAAGCACTTCGCCATTAATACACACACACACCCTCCAGCGCATATTTCCTTGATGAAAGACCTCACCTTGGTGTGATTGCAATCCCGGAGAAAAGTGGTGCCACCAATCAATATCTCTTGTCTGCCGAGACTATAAACTAGTGATGATCAAATGTAACCTCGACTTTCCTTGGAATGATTTAACATGAGGTCGAATCAGAGCAACACACAATTTGGTACTACGGGTGACCAATTGCCCAGAGGACTTCGTCCTGGCTGGTCAGTTGTTTGAGGTTCCTTCCTTGGGTTTAAACCCATGTTCGCGGGAAGGATACTTGCTTAATAGATTGATACACGGTGAAATATAAAATTTTCGGGATAAGTTTCTCTTACCCCTCCTAGCTTCTAGGAGTGGTACAAACCATTTGAGCTAATAATGCAAAGATTGGGTATGCATTGGTGTGCGGTGTACTATGGGATACTTGTATCTAATGGATTAGAGGGATTCTTAGTTGTATCTGTGGACAGATCGGAATGAAGGATGGAGTGACGGTTGAAGTAGAGGAGGAGTTGGTTGAGACGTTGACGTAGTTGTTTATACCTTAATCATTAGTACTTATATCGGCGATTTTTCTTTATGTTTGAGTATGTTGGAGTTTACTCTAAACATGCTCAGCTTATCACTGGTTTGAGTCTTTAGATGATAAGAATGTTTGTAGGGACACAGTATTCCTCATAGCATCTATGGGCTCTAACCAGTGATTGCCTTTTCTTTTGTCAAGGTAAAATTGAGCTTGACTCATGACACCTGTCATTCCCCAATGGGACTACTATGGCAATACATTAGATAGCTCGATAGCTCGGCACAACCATGTGTAAGATACACAAAGAAACTCACTCAGTGATTGAAAAATACCACCGAGAAATAAAGCCAACACGGCTGGTGTTCAAGTAAAACATTTCGAAAGCATTCATACACACACTCACACAGTACTGAACTTCACCATTTTGATGTTATTGTAGTCCGTGGTATAGAGATGCTACCAATACCTCGGGTACTATAAACTGGTGATGTTAAATGTATCGTGTCCTGAGGTCAAACCAGAGCTTTTATAAATGACAAAGAATGCTTTCTTCTTTCGCTTTATCCTACTAGCTTCTAAACAATAGGTCAAAAAAAGTGTTCTTGCCTGGTTACATCAACTAAGTTCTGCGTTCTTTATACAGCATTGGTCCTACTAGAGATGCAAGTTCATAGAAGATTTTGTCTTTTTGCCTTTTGATTTCACTAAGAGGGAAAGATAAGGATGCACTCGAGCTCTAAGCTACCTCAGCCTTTAAACATAGGTTAGGATAGCAACCACGGGAACGGATAGCACACAGGGTAGAAATGACAAAGAAGGCGATCAATATATTCCTCTTCCGTTCCTTCCTGACAGCTTCTAAAGAAGTTAAAAAACTAGTGTTCTTCCGTGGTTACATCAATTAAGTTCTACGTTCTTTATGCAGCATTGGTCCTACTAATGATGCAAGTTCATAGAACATTTTGTCTTTTTGCCCTTTGATCACATTAAGAGTGAAAGATAAGGATGTATTCGGAGAGAGCTTTAAGCTACCTCAGCCTCTAAACACAGGCAAGAGTTCCGACTCAGCATCATACTGTATCCCAAAAAGTATGAAATGGAGCAAATGGTAAACGAGGTGAGTGATAGCACAGCTAAACTACCTAGTACTAAAAAACGACTTTCTGAAGCACAGAGGAGGAAGTTGTAGAACATGCTTCAGGAAATCTAACGACACTTCAATGAAAGCGTTTGTGTTGATGTTTGTAATGCCCAAATAGATGGCTCAGAAGCACTTTCTGAGTTGATTAAGCTATGTACGTCTGTCTGTGTACCTGCGGAATCGGATTCTCTCAATATCTGAAGCAAAGAGGATGTGGTCTCCCGTGAAGATTTAAACCATTTTCAATAGGATTTGTAACCGCTGTTCTGTTCTAGTTCTGTTCTAGTTGTGTTCTAGTTTTGTTCTAGTTCTGTTCCAGTTCTGTTCTAGTTATGTTCTAGTTCTGTTCTAGTTCTGTTCTAGTTATGTTCTAGTTCTGTTCCTGTTCTGTTCTAGTTCTGTTCTAGTTCTGTTCTAGTTCTGTTCTAGTTCTGTTCTAGTTCTGTTCTAGTTCTGTTCTAGTTCTGTTCTAGTTCTGTTCTAGTTCTGTTCTAGTTCTGTTCTAGTTCTGTTCTAGTTCTGTTCTAGTTCTGTTCTAGTTCTGTTCTAGTTCTGTTCTAGTTCTGTTCTAGTTCTGTTCTAGTTCTGTTCTAGTTCTGTTCTAGTTCTGTTCTAGTTCTGTTCTAGTTCTGTTCTAGTTCTGTTCTAGTTCTGTTCTAGTTCTGTTCTAGTTCTGTTCTAGTTCTGTTCTAGTTCTGCTCTAGTTCTGTTCTAGTTCTGTTCTAGTTCTGTTTTAGTTCTGTTCTAGTTCTGTTCTAGTTCTGTTCTAGTTCTGTTCTAGTTCTGTTCTAGTTCTGTTCTAGTTCTGTTCTAGTTCTGTTCTAGTTCTGTTCTAGTTCTGTTCTAGTTCTGTTCTAGTTCTGTTCTAGTTCTGTTCTAGTTCTGTTCTAGTTCTGTTCTAGTTCTGTTCTAGTTCTGTTCTAGTTCTGTTCTAGTTCTGTTCTAGTTCCGTTCTAGTTCTGTTCTAGTTCTGTTCTGTTCTGTTCTAGTTCTGTTCTAGTTCTGTTCTAGTTTTGTTCTAGTTTTGTTCTAGTGTTGTTCTAGTTCTGTTCTAGTTCTGTTCTAGTTCTGTTCTAGTTTTGTTCTAGTTTTGTTCTAGTTTTGTTCTAGTTCTGTTCTAGTTCTGTTCTAGTTCTGTTCTAGTTCTGTTCTAGTTCTGTTCTAGTTCTGTTCTGGTTCTGTTCTAGTTCTGTTCTAGTTCTGTTCTAGTTCTGTTCTAGTTCTGTTCTAGTTCTGTTCTAGTTCTGTTCTAGTTCTGTTCTAGTTCTGTTCTAGTTCTGTTCTAGTTCTGTTCTAGTTCTGTTCTAGTTCTGTTCTAGTTCTGTTCTAGTTCTGTTCTAGTTCTGTTCTAGTTCTGTTCTAGTTCTGTTCTAGTTCTGTTCTAGTTCTGTTCTAGTTCTGTTCTAGTTCTGTTCTAGTTCTGTTCTAGTTCTGTTCTAGTTCTAGTTCTGTTCTAGTTCTGTTCTAGTTCTGTTCTAGTTCTGTTCTATTTCTGTTCTAGTTCTGTTCTAGTTCTGTTCTAGTTCTGTTCTAGTTTTGTTCTAGTTCTGTTCTAGTTCTGTTTTAGTTCTGTTCTAGTTCTGTTTTAGTTCTGTTTTAGTTGTGTTCTTTCGGGTCTGACGAAAAAACCTAAGAAGAAAATGAGCGCCCCGCCTTCCAATGTACAGTCGATGCCAAGCATTACCACATTATATTCCTCAATTAAGTTCTGCGTTCTTTATGCAACATTGATCCTGGTAATAGAACATTTTGTCTTTTTACCGTTTGCTTTCATTAAGTGGGATTCCGTAAAAGTAGTTTTTATACATATCGGGCAATATGTTTCCTGTATTTAAAACCCCTTTCTCATTTAAGTAGGACTGTTGAAATGTGGGACCAGTATGATGTAGTACATATACCTGTCAAGTGATATATAGAAACTAGATATGACTTATCGCTAGATATGACCTATTTAAGCTATTTGTATGTATATTAGTTTATAAATAACACCTTAAAAATATTTATTATTTATTTTATTTAACACAACACTTGATCACTTATTAAACACACCCTCTCACTTTAACTAAATCTCTCACGATATTTATAATCTTAACGTTTTAAACTTTCAACTTTGACATTTTTGTTTTCAAAATTCCCTAAATGTAAAGCATTTGTTTAACAAATGTTTTTTTTTTACATAATAATTCTAAGAATTTATTTTACTCCCAACATTTTATGAAATAAAATATGATATTATTTACCTATAAATTAAAATTTATTTTTTATATACGTTTAAAATAAAAATAATAAAACTAACTAAAGCGCATGTAAAAGTTGTAAGCAGAAAAAGAAAATACCGGAAATACCCCCATTTCATGGATATTCAGTTCGTAATTTAAGCTCGATACCAATACAAAGATTGCACGCTTTAATGGGGTAAATTCTTAAAATACTTAAATGTATAAAAAACTGTGTTTATGTATAAGTGTGTAGAGAAATTTAGAAAAAAAAACTATTTTAGGAAAAATAATAAATTATTAAAGTAGTGGTTTTAATATAATTTACTTTTCATTTTAGTAATAAAAAGCATGTTTAATGTTTTAGTTTTTTCGAATTTTATTTAACAATAAATTCCAAATAGTTGTAAACTTGTGTATTTAATTTAAAACCTTTTTTATGAAAAGCTAATTTTGTGAAAATATTTTTCTTCTCTACTTCTTTTCCTCTTAAAAAAACTTTTATAACTCTTTTTTTAAATGCACTTTTTTTTAATAAATCCCCACTTTTTATAAATGGTATGCGTTTGCCCTTTTATCCTAAACACTTTAATTCCTTTTGATTTTATAAACCCTTTACTTTTGTGTATTTAACATCCTACCCCCCTCCTCACCACCGCTAACTACCCTTTTTACCGGCTTTATTTCTTTGTGGGCTTTTTTTTCCTTCCTTCTTTCTTTCTTTCCTTGTTTTGTTTCTATTCTATGATTTAAAAATTGTATAGAGCTTCTGCAAGTTCCTTGGCCTTAAATACCCGTCAACCTATGCATATACCAGAAATACCACCATTTCGGAAAAAATCCAGTGATTCTGCTGATCACACCACCGGCAGCAGCACTAGCAGTAGTCCCCAGCGTACTTCTGCCATTTCCATTGTAAATGCCGCCGCCATCTCTAACACCCGCCAACCGTTAATTGCTACGCCATTATCATCATCACCACCAACACTATCCTCCAATCCTAATCAGCAAACCAGCGCCAAAATACCGGAAATACCACCATATAAAGCTCGCAAAATATCCGCTGAGAGTACTACGCATTTGAATTTGAGCGTAAGCCATAAAATTTCTTCTCTTTTAAAAGCAAAAAAAAAAAAAATACTTATTTTTTTGGTTTTATGTTGTAGTGTTTCATATTAAAAAACAAAAACAAACATGTAAAAAAACTGTACAATACTTGTAAAAGAAAGTGTTGTAAAAAAAAAACTTTAAAAGTTTTTACACTGTTTTTTAAGTTCCTGTCAAAAGAAAACCAACACTTTATTATAGTTTACTTTAAAAACATACAGATATTAAAGAGAATGTATTCTTAAATAGACCATAAAAATAATTTGCACTCAAAAAGCGTAAATATTGAAAAAGTAACAAAAAGCTTTTTTAAAGTTTAGTCTAGACTATACACTCGACTGCAGACTACACCATAGACTAGACCATAAACTAAAGATGGGAATAGACTAAAGACTAGACTATAGACTAGACTATAGACTACACTATAGACTAGACTATTGACTAGACTATAGACTAGACTACAGACTGGACTATACTAGACTATAGACTAGACTATAGACTAGACTATAGACTAGACTATAGACTAGACTATAGACTAGACTATAGACTAGACTATAGACTAGACTATAGACTAGACTATAGACTAGGACTATAGACTAGACTATAGACTAGACTATAGACTAGACTATAGACTAGACTATAGACTAGACTATAGACTAGACTATAGACTAGACTATAGACTAGACTATAGACTAGACTATAGACTAGACTATAGACTAGACTATAGACTAGACTATAGACTAGACTATAGACTAGACTATAGACTAGACTATAGACTAGACTATAGACTAGACTCTAGACTAGACTATAGACTAGACTATGACTAGACTATGACAGACTATAGACTAGACTATAGACTAGACTATAGACTAGACTATGACTAGATTAGACTAGACTTAGACTAGACTTATAGACTAGACTATAGACTAGACTATAGACTAGACTATAGACTAGACTATAGACTAGACTATAGACTAGACTATACACTAGGACTATAGACTAGACTATAGACTAGACTATAGACTAGACTATAGACTAGACTATAACTAGACTATAGACTGACTTAGACTACTAGACTAGGACTTATAGACTAGACTATAGACTAGACTATAGACTAGACCTATAGGACTAGACTATAGACTAACTATAGACTAGACTATAGACTAGACTATAGACTAGACTATAGACTAGACTATAGACTAGACTATAGACTAGACTATAGACTAGACTATAGACTAGACTATAGACTAGACTATAGACTAGACTATAGACTAGACTATAGACTAGACTATAGACTAGACTATAGACTAGACTATAGACTAGACTATAGACTAGACTATAGATTAGACTATAGACTAGACTATAGACTAGACTATAGACTACTAGACTAGACTATAGACTAGACTAGACTATAGACTAGACTATAGACTAGACTATAGACTAGACTATAGACTAGACTATAGACTAGACTATAGACTATAGACTAGACTATAGACTAGACTATAGACTAGACTATAGACTAGACTATAGACTAGACTATAGACTAGACTATAGACTAGACTATAGACTAGACTATAGACTAGACTATAGACTAGACTATAGACTAGACTATAGACTAGACTATAGACTAGACTATAGACTAGACTATAGACTAGACTATAGACTAGACTATAGACTAGACTATAGACTAGACTATAGACTAGACTATAGACTAGACTATAGACTAGACTATAGACTAGACTATAGACTAGACTATAGACTAGACTATAGACTAGACTATAGACTAGACTATAGACTAGACTATAGACTAGACTATAGACTAGACTATAGACTAGACTATAGACTAGACTATAGACTAGACTATAGACTAGACTATAGACTAGACTATAGACTAGACTATAGACTAGACTATAGACTAGACTATAGACTAGACTATAGACTAGACTATAGACTAGACTATAGACTAGACTATAGACTAGACTATAGACTAGACTATAGACTAGACTATAGACTAGACTATAGACTAGACTATAGACTAGACTATAGACTAGACTATAGACTAGACTATAGACTAGACTATAGACTAGACTATAGACTAGACTATAGACTAGACTATAGACTAGACTATAGACTAGACTATAGACTAGACTATAATAGACTAGACTATAGACTAGACTATAGACTAGACTATAGACTAGACTATAGACTAGGACTATAGACTAGGACTATAGACTAGACTATAGACTAGACTATAGACTAGACTATAGACAGACTATAGACTAGACTATAGACTAGACTACAGACTAGACTAAGACTAGACTATAGACTAGACTATAGACTAGACTATAGGACTAGACTATAGACTAGACTATAGACTAGACTATAGACTAGACTATAGACTAGACTATAGACTAGCCTATAGACTAGACTATAGACTAGACTATAGACTAGACTATAGACTAGACTATAGACTAGACTATAGACTAGACTATAGACTAGACTATAGACTAGCCTATAGATAGACTATAGACTAGACTATAGACTAGACTATAGACTAGGACTAAGAAGACTATACACTAGACATAGACTAGACTATAGACTAGACTATAGACTATACAATAGACTAGACTATAGATTAGACTATATACTAGTATATAGACTAGATTATAAGCTAGGTTTACATTCTCTTCAATATCTGCCACTTTTTCACACACACACCCACACTTACACTTTATATATACAACTTCCTTAACTACATTCTTCTTTAAACTTCCTTTATTTTACAACAAAAAATGTAAAAAAAACGAAATCTACACACAAAAAAGGATAAATATACATTAAAAACTCATGCACCCGAATGGATGTCACGTTTAAAAGTCAGCGATAATATAAATCTTCATAGGAGTATAGATTGCATAGCAAAGGTAGTTTAGATGTAGACCACTAATGGTACAATAAAAAACCAAAAAACACAAAAAAAAAAACATAAATATAAAACAGTTTGCCTAAATGTATGTGGTGTTAAATTTTATAAATGTCTACAAAAATATTAAAGCATGCACTGTGGGTCTGGAAAACTGAGACAGATAATTTTAAATGTCTGCCAGACTGTTCAAGGGACCAGCAGTGTTTGTTTTGAAAATAATCATTTATCTTAAATTACTAAATTGGTTTATATTATCATAAAATTTTCGATATTTCTACAATTGGCAAGTAAAGCTAGACAAATGCCTGATATAAATAATTTTAAATGTATTGAACTAGCTAAAAGGCATTTTTTCAAAATTTTGTAAGGTTGCATGTTAATTGGGTTTAAAATTGCTTTATGTGTGCTAGAATAGTTTGTTCAAAAGGGACTTCAGAATAATCATTACATACTAAGTAAATCATGTTATTATGTATTATTTTTGTTGTCTAATTATAAATCTAAGATAAATCAAAGGTTCGTGAGGAGACGTTAGCTAAATGTGTCCTTATATTAGTTAATACACAGCTCTCTAAACATTTACTTTCTTCGCGTTAAAAAATTCTGATATAAAAGCAATAATTTATTTTGAAAGGTAATTATAGAATCTTTTAAGCAAAAGTTATGAAAGGGAAATATAGACTATACTATAGACTAGACTATAGGCTATATTCTATACTATAGACTAGACTATAGACTAGCCTATAGGCTATATTCTAGACTATAGACTAGACTATAGACCAGACTATAGACTAGACTATAGACTAGACTATAGACTAGACTATAGACTAGATTATAGACTAGACTATAGACTAGAATAGACTATAGACTAGACTGGACTAGACTATAGACTAGACTAGACTATAGACTAGACTAGACTATAGACCAGACTATAGACTAGACTATAGACCAGACTATAGACCAGACTATAGACTCGACTATAGACTAGATTATAGACTAGACTATAGACTAGAATATAGACTAGACTATAGATTAGACTTTAGACTAGTCCATACACTAGACTATAGACTAGACTATAGACTAGACTATAGACTAGACTATAGACTAGACTATAGACTAGACTATAGACTAGACTATAGACTAGACTATAGACTAGACTATAGACTAGACTATAGACTAGACTATAGACTAGACTATATACTAGACTATAGACTAGACTATAGACAAGACAAGACTATAGACTAGACTGTAGACTAGTCTATAGACTAGACTATAGACTAGACTATAGACTAGATTATAGACTAGACTATAGACTAGAACTATAGGCTAGACTATAGACTAGACTATAGACTAGACTATAGACTAGACTATAGACTAGATATAGACTAGACTATAGACTAGACTATAGACTAGACTATAGACTAGACTATAGACTAGACTATAGACTAGACTATAGACTAACTATAGACTAGACTATAGACTAGACTATCAGACTAGACTATAGACGAGACTATAGACTAGACTATAGACTAGACTATAGACTAGAATAACTAGACTATAGACTAGACTATAGACTAGACTATAGACTAGACTATAGACTAGACTATAGACTAGACTATAGACTAGACTATAGACTAGACTAATAGACTAGACTATAGACTAACTATAGACCTAGACTATAGACTAGACTATAGACTAGACTATAGACTAGACTATAGACTAGACTATAGACTAGACTATAGACTAGACTATAGACTAGACTATAGACTAGACTATAGACTAGACTATAGACTAACTATAGACTAGACTATAGACTAGACTATAGACTAGACTATAGACTAGACTATAGACTAGACTATAGACTAGACTATAGACTAGACTATAGACTAGACTATAGACTAGACTATAGACTAGACTATAGACTAACTATAGACTAGACTAGAGACTAGACTATAGACTAGACTATAGACTAGACTATAGATCTAGACTATAGACTAGACTATAGACTAGACTATAGACTAGACTATAGACTAGACTATAGACTAGACTATAGACTAGACTATAGACTAGACTATAGACTAGACTATAGACTAGACTATAGACTATTCTGTTCTAATTTGAACTTAAATTTTTACGGTTAATTGTTATAGAACAAATTTGTTTAAAATGTATATCAATTTCTAGAAATTTTGACTTATTGTACGATTAAATAGAACTCGTTTTTCAGCAGTAGTTATTAAAAAAAAAAAAACACACAAATTTATTACTCAGAAGCTTGCAATAAATTGCAGAGCTTTTATTTTATGATTTTTCTGTGTCTAATTTAAAATGTTAAAACAGCAATAAAAAATAACGCAAATGTCTATTGGTTCACTGCATGATAATATACAACAAAAAAAAAAAAAAAATTAAAATAAAAATCGTTAACAAATAATTACTTAAAAAAAACAAGTTTGAAACAAAATTGTTTGCATTTAAATATAAATCCCCAAACAAAAGCTTTTAATGTTCTTATGTACTTTTGTGTTTGGAAAGAAAAAAAAAAACTGTAAAATAGCAACAACTAACAAAAAACTTTAACAAATATTTTTTTTATGTTTTCTTCTTCAACATCCTTTTTTTCCATGCTGCTGCACACAACAACAACAAATCATAAATGTGGAATCTTTATTATAATAAAACAAAAATGCACATGTGTATGATCCGAAAAAAATGTATAAATTTGACAAAAAACTGAAAAAATTGTGATTAATGTAAAAATGTGAAAAATTACTGCACTGACACAATATGTGATGTGCGAAAAAAAAAACTGAACTGAACCATAATTGCACTTTGCATCTATCTATCCTGAATAATGTACAAATATATGAATCTTCCTTGTATGATACCCACAATCTTCTTTTTCGCCTTTTGCCAATTTTCTTTCTTTACTTCTCATATCTATACTGTCATTATGGCTGCCCTTTGTTTAAACAACTGTCTGGCTATGACATGCCTCACACACATATCCCGAAATACCATCATCATCATTATCATCAACCTCATCTCGTAATCATCATCATTATCATCACCATATTTCTTTAATATTGTAAATACAAAAAAAAATGAACCTAAAAAAAGGAGCTTAAAAGCAATACAGACACGATGGATATTTTAAAGCCAGCACCCTCCTGGAGTAATGTGGCCATAAAAACACAGCAACAGCAAGTAACAGCCTCCACACAAGCACAACAAGCTACACCACCACCACTCTTATCATCATCAGCAACAGCACAACATTTAGTAGCTTCGTCATCATCTTCCTCTGGAGGAGGAGTAAGTGTGAGTGGTTTATCCTCCAGCAAAGCCGAAACATCAGCAACACGACCCAGTGTGGGTGGCATATCGAATTCATCAGCATCTTCTTTACAGCAGCAACAGAATGACAAAGACCCGGCTACTACATCTCAACAGCAGCAGCAACAACAAGGAACGAAAACTACCAGCGGAAGTGTTACCACACCCAGTGGTGCTACAGATGATGAAGCTAAAGGTATAACAGGAGGATTACTTCTGTATTTCATTAAATATTTAAATTTATTTATTTCTCTTTTAATTTAAGCTGCCGAATTGGCTGCTAAGAAATCCCGTTTAAAACAAAAACTGGTAAAGAGCGCCCGTTCAGTGGCCATTTTCTCTTTAAAGCTTAAGGAACGCAGACAACGAGAGGCAGAAAAGGCGGCTGCTATAGCTGTAGAGCATGCCAAGGTAAGAATATGAAAATCTATCTATATCTATAGAAAATTAAGCACAAACAGAATATATTCTCTAGAGAAAATGTTGCTCAGACTCTGACAACTTTTTTATGGAAAGAGTTGCTCAGATTCTCACAACTTTCCTAAGAAAGAGTTGCTCAGAGTCTGTTCTAGTTCTGTTCTAGTTCTGTTCTAGTTCTGTTCTAGTTCTGTTCTAGTTCTGTTCTAGTTCTGTTCTAGTTCTGTTTCTAGTTCTGTTCTAGTTCTGTTCTAGTTCTGTTCTAGTTCTGTTCTAGTTCTGTTCTAGTTCTGTTCTAGTTCTGTTCTAGTTCTGTTCTAGTTCTGTTCTAGTTCTGTTCTAGTTCTGTCTAGTTCTTTAGTTGTTCTAGTCTGTCTAGTTCTGTTCTAGTTCTGTTCTAGTTCTGTTCTAGTTCTGTTCTAGTTCTGTTCTAGTTGTTCTAGTTCTGTTCTAGTTGTCTAGTTCTGTTTCTAGTTCTGTTCTAGTTCTGTTCTAGTTCTTGTTCTAGTTCTGTTCTAGTTCTGTTCTAGTTCTGTTCTAGTTCTGTTCTAGTTCTGTTCTAGTTCTGTTCTAGGTCTGTTCTAGTTCTTGTTCTAGTTGTCTGTTCTAGTTCTGTTCTAGTTCTGTTCTAGTTCCTGTTCTAGTTCTGTTCTAAGTTCTGTTCTTAGTTCTGTTCTAGTTCTGTTCTAGTTCTGTTCTATTTTCGGTTCTAGTTCTCTGTTCTAGTTCTGTTTCAGTTCTTTTCTAGTTCTGTTTGTTCTTTTCTAGATTCTGTTCTAGTTCTGTTCTAATTCTGTTCTAGTTTCTGTTCTAGTCTAGTTCTGTTTTCTAGTTCTGTTCTAGGTTTCTGTTCTAGTTTCTGTTTAGTTTCGTTTCTAGGTCTGTTCTAGTTTCTCTTTTTCTAGGTGTCTGTTCTAGTTATGTCTAGTTCTGTTCTAGTTCTGTTCCAGTTCTATTCTGCTTTTCTAGTTCTTTTCAGTTCTAATTCATTCAGTTCTGTTCTGTTCAGTTCTGTTCAGTTCTGTTCAGTTCTGTTCAGTTCTGTTCAGTTCTGTTCAGTTCTGTTCAGTTCTGTTCAGTTCTGTTCAGTTCTGTTCAGTTCTGTTCAGTTCTGTTCAGTTCTGTTCAGTTCTGTTCAGTTCTGTTCAGTTCTGTTCAGTTCTGTTCAGTTCTGTTCAGTTCTGTTCAGTTCTGTTCAGTTCTGTTCAGTTCTGTTCAGTTCTGTTCAGTTCTGTTCAGTTCTGTTCAGTTCTGTTCAGTTCTGTTCAGTTCTGTTCAGTTCTGTTCAGTTCTGTTCAGTTCTGTTCGTTCTGTTCAGTTCTGTTCAGTTCTGTTCAGTTCTGTTCAGTTCTGTTCAGTTCTGTTCAGTTCTGTTCAGTTCTGTTCAGTTCTGTTCAGTTCTGTTCAGTTCTGTTCAGTTCTGTTCAGTTCTTTCAGTTCTGTTCAGTTGTGTTCAGTTCTGTTCAGTTCAGTTGTTCTGTTCAGTTCTGTTCAGTTCTGTTCAGTTGTGTTCAGTTTCTGTTCATTTCAGTTGTTCAGTTCAGTTGCTGTTCTGTGTCAAGTTCCGTTCAGTTCTGTTTCTGTGCAGTTTCGGTTCAGTTCTGTTCGTTCTGTTCAGTTCTGTTCAGTTTCTGTTCAGTTCTGTTCATTCTGTTCAGTTCTGTTCAGTTCTGTTCAGTTCTGTTCAGTTCTGTTCAGTTTCGTTTCAGTTCTGTTCAGTTCTGTTTCATTCTGTTCAGTTCTGTTCAGTTCTGTTCAGTTCTGTTCAGTTCTGTTCAGTTCTGTTCAGTTCTGTTTCAGTTCTGTTCAGTTCTGTTCAGTTCTGTTTCAGTTCTGTTCAGTTTCTGTTCAGTTCTGTTCAGTTCTGTTCAGTTCTGTTCAGTTCTGTTCAGTTCTGTTCAGTCTGTTCAGGTCTTTCATTCTGTTCAGTTCTGTTCAGTTCTGTTCAGTTCTGTTCAGTTCTGTTCAGTTCTGTTTCAGTTCTGTTCAGTTCTGTTCAGTTCTGTTCAGTTCTGGTCAGTTCTGTTCAGTTCTGTTCAGTTCTGTTCAGTCTGTTCAGTTCTGTCAGTTCTCTGTTCAGTTCTGTTCAGTTCTGTTCAGTTCTGTTTCAGTTCTGTTCAGTTCTGTTCAGAGTTTCTGTTCATTCTGTTCAGTTTCAGTCAGTTCAGTTGCAGTTCATGTTCTGTTCAGTTCCTGTTCTGTTCAGTTTCTGTTTCAGTTCTGTTCAGTTTCTGTTCGTTCTGTTCAGTTCTGTTCAGTTCTGTTCATTCTGTTCAGTTCTTTCAGTTCTGTTCATTCTGTTCAGTTCTGTTCAGTTCTGTTCAGTTCTGTTTCAGTTCTGTTCAGTTCTGTTCAGTTCTGTTCAGTTCTGTTTCAGTTCTGTTTCAGTTCAGTTCAGTTCTGTTAGTTCTGTTCAGTTCTGTTCAGTTCTGTTCAGTTCTGTTCAGTTCTGTTCAGTTCTGTTCAGTTCTGTTCAGTTCGGGTCAGTTCTGTGCGTTCAGTTCTGTTCAGTTCAGTCTGTTCAGGTTCTGTTCAGTTCTGTTCAGTTCTGTTCAGTTCTGTCAGTTTCTGTTTCAGTTCTGTTCAGTCTGTTCGTTCTGTTCAGTTCTGTTCAGTTCTGTTTCAGTTCTGTTCAGTTCTGTTCAGTTTGTTCATTCTGTTCAGTTCTGTTTCAGTTCTATTCAGTTCTGTTCAGTTCTGTTCAGTTCTGTTCAGTTCTGTTCAGTTCTGTTCAGTTCTGTTTCAGTTCAGTTCTGTTCTGTTCTGTTCTGTTCTGTTCAGTTCATTCAGTTCTATTTCTGTTCAGTCCTGTCTAGTTCTGTTCAGTTCTGTTCAATTCGTTCAGTTCTATTTCTGTTCAGAGTCCTGTCTAGTTCTGTCTGGTTCTAGTTGATCAGAATTGTTGTGGTTAGAAAAAGTTGCTCAGTAGCTTTTCTATACGAGAAGTTTCTGTAGAAGAAACTTGTAACTTTTCTATGGCTCAGAATGGATAGTTTTCTCTAAAGAAATATTTCATTTATTTATATTTTATCTCTTTTCAGGCTTTAGCAAAACTACCGCCCATGCCACAAGCCGGTGGCGAATTATCTCTAATACCCATCGAACAACTCATCAAAATTGAAGATATTAAACCTGCTTTACGTTCGCCGCCACCGGTAAGCACAACGGCGTTAATGCCCTTCTCAACAACGGCTTCAACATCGTCGGCCATAACATTAGCGAATACATCAACCACCTCGTCAGCGTTATTAGCAGCAGCTGCTGCTCACCTTCAGCAGCAACAACAGCAGCAGCATCATAGTTCTTCTTCCGGCAGTTTTTAAATCAAAGAGGATGTGTAAATATACGTTCATTTCCACAATGAAAAAAAAACATTTTTTGTCTGCGTGTACTATAGAGAAATATTAATGATTAGAGATCTTTCACCAGAAGTTTTGGATGATAGTGAAGATCTTTAAATTTGAATTTGTTAGTTTTCATTATATTCTCTTTATAAGCATATACAAGTCCTTTGGACAAAAGTGCATTTTTCAGGAAGAGTTTACTTCTCCCCAAGATAAAAAAGGTTTAAAATCTACTTAAGTATTTATAATGTTTTATAATTTAAGACTTTTTTTAGTTGAAAAACTCCGAATTACAACAATTATTTTAAAACAGTTAAACCAACTAAAACGAAAACTAATCACACCTTAAAACTAAAAATAAAAAACCAAAAAAAAACTAAAAGTGACTTAATATACAAACGAAATCTAATTCAGAATGCGAAAAAATACATTAAAATAAAAATTTTACAAAATTACAAAAAGCATGAAAAAAACAGCAACAACATTTTACTAATAACAAACATATTAAATAAACAAATACACTTAAAGAAAAAAACTGTAGTAGTTAGTGACAAAACAAAACCAAAACAGAAAAACTCAAATTAGTCTTAGAAGATCATCAAGATATTTATTTTGTAGTCATAGAATTTTTAGACAAAAATTTAATGGTTGATTGAAAAAAAAAAAAAATCTTACAAAAACATATAAAACAAAATTGTTAACAAATTTAGGTTGCAAATTTAATAGAAAACAAGTTAAACTAAAAAAAAAAAATCATAACAGAAAAATATAGAAAATTAAATATTTTTATATAATTTGCTAAATAAATGTGATAATTATGAGTTTTTAATTAGGGATGCCAAACGGGAATTCCCGATTCCCGAAAATCCCGGGATTTTCGGGATTTGAAAGTACCGAAACCGGGATTTTAAAAAATGAAATACCGGGAAATTTGGGGATTTTAAAATCCCGAATTTTTAAGTGTTTTTCCGCTATTTTATACATTATAAACTATTAAATAAGAGAATTTTAAAAGTTTTTGGACTTAAGATGACTATACTAACTTACAAGCTGAAATATCAAAAATAAAAAGGGCAACAAATAGGCATAGATACTATCGGATATATAAAATAACAAGTAAGAAATTATTGGCGGGCGAGGACGACCATATAACCCCCTGCAACAGTTATGAGAGTAAAATGTGATTTAGTTTTCATAATAATCATTTAAGTTGATTTATACTTCGCCTCCGATATATTTTAGCAATTTATTGTTAAAAAACTATTTTCTGAAATATGCTTGGGGGAAGCCTTCACATGAGTCGATCCTCATAAAATTTGGAGGAAGAATTTACGGTTACATAAAATTTATTTATGCTGAATTTCATTACGGCACTTCTCTTTTTAAGCGAAATGTGGACACTAGGCTAGGATGAGAAGAAGCCCGATAACTTCAAAATTCATCAGGGTATTTAAGGACAGTATAAAACAAAAGCAATACTCCGAAGATACCCAATATACCTTCCCCACTAAGGTGGTATAGGGTATAAAAAGGGCAATAATCGGATATCTAATGGGTGTATTAGAATCTATAATGGAAGTCACCTGTCAATAAGATGGCGAGATGATAATTCCCTTATTTGGGTTAGAGAACACGGCAAAAGCTGGAATTACTATGGAATTACTATTTCTCTACTGACCATTAAAAACCAGATATCCGATATTCATCTCAAGACGAATGGTCTCATGAGTACATAGGTGCAGTACAGGAGCTCTATGTAGCCTCGTATGGATCCTCATTACGCATACTATCTAAATATTAGGTTTCATCAAATTGTAAATTTGGAAACCATTGTAAATTTGGATATCATGGGTATTATTTTATATTTATAAGATATAGAAGCTTTTGCTCAAAAGTAGGTTTTTATTCTACTATTCAGTACCTGGGATGGAAAGATTTTTATTATAAGTACTTTGAATTAATTTGTTTTTCTTTTCACAAATGCTTATTGGAAAATAAACACCTTCTAAGTGTATTCATATTGCAATATGAAATAGAAAATGTTATTTTTGTCGGTGAATTATTAAGATTTTTTGAATTTTTTTATATTTTTCGTGATTTTGAAATCCCGAAAATCTCGGGATCCCGATATCGGGATTCCGGGATTTATTTAAAAATCCCGAATCCCGGGATTTCTAAATATCAGTCCCGATTGGCATCCCTAGTTTTAATAGAAAATTTGTTGAATTTTTAAGTTTTTTTTTTGTTTTTTCTCATGCACTAGATAACTATTTGAACATGTTCTATTTTATTTTAGATTCAGTTCTAGTTAGTTCTAGTTCAGTTCTAGTTCAGTTCTAGTTCAGTTCTAGTTCAGTTCTAGTTTAGTTCTAGTTTAGTTCTAGTTTAGTTCTAGTTCAGTTCTAGTTCAGTTCTAGTTCAGTTCTAGTTCAGTTCTAGTTCAGTTCTAGTTCAGTTCTAGTTCAGTTCTAGTTCAGTTCTAGTTCAGTTCTAGTTCAGTTCTAGTTCAGTTCTAGTTCAGTTCTAGTTCAGTTCTAGTTCAGTTCTAGTTCAGTTCTAGTTCAGTTCTAGTTTAGTTCTAGTTCAGTTCTAGTTCAGTTCTAGTTCAGTCTAGTTCAGTTCTAGTTCAGTTTCTAGTTCAGTTCTAGTAGTTCTAGTTCAGTTCTAGTTCAGTTCTAGTTCAGTTCTAGTTCAGTTCTAGTTCAGTTCTAGTTCAGTCTAGTTCAGTTCTAGTTCAGTTCTAGTTCTTCTAGTTTCTAGTTCGCTTCTAGTTCAGTTCTAGTTCTGTTCTAGTTTCAATTCTAGTTCAGTTTCTAGTTCAGTTCTAGTTCAGTTCTAGTTCAGTTCTAGTTCAGTTCTAGTTCAGTTCTAGTTCAGTTCTAGTTCAGTTCTAGTTCAGTTCTAGTTCAGTTCTAGTTCAGTTCTAGTTCAGTTCTAGTTCAGTTCTAGTTCAGTTCTAGTTCAGTTCTAGTTCAGTTCTAGTTCAGTTCTAGTTCAGTTCTAGTTCAGTTCTAGTTCAGTTCTAGTTCAGTTCTAGTTCAGTTCTAGTTCAGTTCTAGTTCAGTTCTAGTTCAGTTCTAGTTCAGTTCTAGTTCAGTTCTAGTTCAGTTCTAGTTCAGTTCTAGTTCAGTTCTAGTTCTGTTCTAGTTCAGTTCTGTTCTAGTTCTGTTCTAGTTCTGTTCTAGTTCTGTTCTAGTTCTGTTCTAGTTTTGTTCTAGTTCTGTTCTAGTTCTGTTCTAGTTTGTTCTAGTTATGTTCTAGTTCTGTTCTAGTTCTGTTCTAGTTTTTATGTTCTAGTTCTGTTCTAGTTCTGTTCTAGTTCTTTCTAGTTCTGTCTAGTTCTGTTCTAGTTCTGTTCTAGTTCTTTCTAGTTCTAGTTCTGTTCTGTTCTGTTCTGCTCTGTAGTTCTGTTCTAGTTCTAGTTCTAGTTCTGTTCTAGTTCTGTTCTAGTTCTGTTCAGTTCTGTTCTAGTTCTGTCTAGTTGTTCTAGTCTGTTCTAGTTTGTTCTAGTTCTGTCTGTTCTAGTTCTGTTGTAGGTCTAGTTATAGTTCTGTCGTTATGTATAGTTCTGTTCTAGTTCTGTTCTAGTTCTGTTCTAGTTCGGTCTAGTTCTGTTCTAGTTCTGTTCTAGTTCTGTTCTAGTTCTGTTCTAGTTCTGTTCTAGTTCTGTTCTAGTTCTGTTCTAGTTCTGTTCTAGTTCTCTTCTAGGTTCTGTTCTAGTTCTCTTCTAGTTCTGTTCTAGTTCTATTCTAGTTCTGTTCTAGTTCTGTTCTAGTTCTGTTCTAGTTCTGTTCTAGTTCTGTTCTAGTTCTGTCTAGTTCTGTTCTAGTTCTGTTCTAGTTCTGTTCTAGTTCTGTTCTAGTTCTGTTCTAGTTCTGTTCTAGTTCTGTTCTAGTTCTGTTCTAGTTCTGTTCTAGTTCTGTTCTAGTTCTGTTCTAGTTCTGTTCTAGTTCTGTCTAGTTCTGTTCTAGTTCTGTTCTAGTTCTGTTCTAGTTCTGTTCTAGTTCTGTTCTAGTTCTGTTCTAGTTCTGTTCTAGTTCTGTTCTAGTTCTGTTCTAGTTCTGTTCTAGTTCTGTTCTAGTTCTGTTCTAGTTTTCTGTTCTGTTCTGTTCTAGTTCTGTTTCTAGTTCTGTTCTAGTTCTGTTCTAGTTTTCTAGTTCTGTTCTAGTTCTGTTCTAGTTCTGTTCTAGTTCTGTTCTAGTTCTGTTTTTCTAGTTCTGTTCTAGTTCTGTTCTAGTTCTGTTCTAGTTCGTTCTAGTTCTGTTCTAGTTCTGTTCTAGTTCTAGGTTTCTGTTCTAGTTCTGTTCTAGTTCTGTTCTAGTTCTGTTCTAGTTCTTTCTAGTTGTTCTAGTAGTTCTGTTCTAGTTCTGTTCTAGTTCTGTTCTAGTTTGTTCTAGTTCTGTTCTAGTTCTGTTCTAGTTTGTTTAGTTATGTTATAGTTATGTTCTAGTCGTTCTAGTCTGTTCTAGTTCTGTTCTAGTTATGTTCTAGTTCTGTTCTAGTTCTGTTCTAGTTCTGTTCTAGTTCTGTTCTAGTTCTGTTCTAGTTCTGTTCTAGTTTGTTCTAGTTCTGTTCTAGTTCTGTTCTAGTTCTGTTCTAGTTCTGTTCTAGTTCTGTTCTAGTTCTGTTCTAGTTCTGTTCTAGTTCTGTTCTAGTTCTGTTCTAGTTCTGTTCTAGTTCTGTTCTAGTTCTGTTCTAGTTCTGTTCTAGTTCTGTTCTAGTTTCTGTTCTAGTTCTGTTCTAGTTCTGTTCTAGTTCTGTTCTAGTTCTGTTCTAGTTCTGTTCTAGTTCTGTTCTAGTTCTAGTCTAGCTTCTAGTTCTGTTCTAGTGCTGTTCTAGTTCTGTTCTAGTTCTGTTCTAGTTCTGTTCTAGTTCTGTTCTAGTTCTGTTCTAGTTCTGTTCTAGTTCTGTTCTAGTTCTGTTCTAGTTCTGTTCTAGTTCTGTTCTAGTTCTGTTCTAGTTCTGTTCTAGTTCTGTTCTAGCTCTGTTCTAGTTCTGTTCTAGTTCTGTTCTAGTTCTGTTCTAGTTCTAGTTCTGTTCTAGTTCCATTCTAGTTCTGTTCTAGTTTATGCGCAACTTTTCCTAAAGAAAAGCTGTTAGTTTAAAATTTTTTCACTTTTTTTAGTTTATATGTATCTAGGAATCGTCCATTGTTCCTTCCACAGGCCGCAAAAATATTACAAAACAAATTCAAAAAACTCGCTTTTAAAAACAAATAAGATATTAAAACTATTTACAATTTATATTACAAAAACAACAACAAAATACTAAAAACAAAATAACTCAACACACTTTCAAATGCTTTTTTTAAATTTTCAAAAAACCAACAAATAAAAATCTTATAAAAAACATATTTTGAGATTTAAATTATAAATACAGATTTAGATTGTAATGAAGAAAAAACAAGCAACAAAACAACAAATATACATATTTGTAAATATATAAATTATTAAGTCAGTATTAAACTAAATGTTTTTCTTTATGTTATTTAATGAAAAAGAGTAATAAAAAAATTTAACAAAATTAAAAGGTGTTATTATTTGGGCGCTTCTGGCTGTTATGGAACCTAGACTGGAATCAGTTTACTAGACAAACGATCGTGTAACTAGGTAATGGAAATAAATAAGATTGTTTCGAATATGTCTGAGTTATGATCTAATTAGGTACTACCAAACTTCAATTTATGGAATTTTATTTAATAAAATTAAAAAAAAAACTTCAGTTCCGCTATAAAGCTAA